GAGGACGAGGAGGAAAGGGCGGAATGGGCGGTGAGGCGGGTCAGCAGCGGCAGGCGCACGCAGCCCAAGGAGAAGATTACTAGGTCAGGGGAGGAACAGCAGCAGTAGCGGGAGCAGGCACGGGGAGTCCCAGGTCGGCCTCGAACCTTCGGACCTCCTCCGTGCTGACCTCTCTCGGATCTGCATAGTGCTCACTCTCCCTGGGATGCCTGCCCTGTCGCAGGCGGAGGAGGAGGAGGAGGGGAGGAAAGAGAAGGACGAGGATGAGGAGGAGGAAGGAGGAGGAGGAGGAGGAGGGGGAGGAGGAGGAGGTGGAGGAGGAGGAGGAGTGGAGGAGGAGGAGGGAGAAGGGGAGAAGGAGGAGGAGGAGGGGAGGAAGAGGAGGAAGAGGAGGAGGAGGAGGAGGAGGAGGAGGAGGAGGAGGGTGGATAAGGGTAGATCAGAAAATGGAGCATGCTCCCTCGTACTATGGCAAACGATGCCACGCTACGACGATACTGTCAGCGGAGTCCCACGCGCAGGCCGATCATCGGCCCGCGCCTTCTTGCCCTTTTCATCCTTGTGCTTGCTGCGCTTTTTCTCCTCAATTTCTTATTCTCCTTTGTAGGGTTCTCGGAGCCCTTCAGGCGGCTATCTGCCCAGCGGCGGCCCCTCTCCCGCGGGATCGACTCTCTCGGCCTGCCGGGCGAAGTGCTCCGCCCTGGTACCAGCAGCGCCTCCCGAACGGTCTGGCGCTCCTTCTCCGCCTTGCATGCCGCCAAGGCCTGCTCGAAGAGCGCCCTAGCTGGAGTCTTTGGCCCATCCTCGGCCAACGTCGCGCCAGCTGAACTGCTGCGGCTCCTCATATGACTCTACCGCCTGTTACGCGTTCCCGATGGGGCAGTCCGCTCTGGCGCGTCCTACACTCCAGGAAGAGCCTCGGTTGTCAACGGCACCTCCGGCCCCGCGTCCTGGATCGTCAGCAGCGCGGCCTCAGCCGAGGATGAGGAGGAGAAGAAGGAGGAGGAGGAGGAGGAGGAGGACCAGTGTAAAACCAAGAGTCATCAACGATGTTGGAATGAACCTTCCCTCCAAGCTCCCTTTTCATAGACCCCCACAACGGTTCAGTTTCATTCAAGGAACTGCCTCGTTGGAAGACAACCGTTTGAAGATCGTGGAGCATGCCAAAACATTGTTCTCGGAAGTTGAACGCTACGTATGAACCTGACTGCTGCGTCTTGACGATCCGAAATCGTGCCAGAGCGCCAGTTTTGGGACTTCAACACCACGAATCAACATGACTGTTGCACCCGCATAACCCTGAATCCTTCCAAAACACTATTTTTGGTACGCTGATCATGGACATCCGTCAAGCTCTTGCAACATTTAAAACGGATGTGCGCGGCGCTAAGGCGATAACCACATTTTGAAAAGGAGCCGCCCTCAATCCGTGAAGCTCTTGCAAATGTTTAAAAGCGAATGTGCGCGGCGCGAAGGCGAGAGCCACATTTTGAAAACGACCCGCCCTCCCTATGTGAAGCTCGTGCAATATTTAAAGCGAATGCGCGCGGCGCTAAAGCGAGAACCACATTTTGAAAACCACCCGCCCTCAATCCGAAAAACTCTTGCAAATGGTTTAAAGCGAATGCGGCGCCAAGTCGAGAGCCACATGTTGAAAACCACCCGCCCTCAATATGTGAAACTCTTGCACTATTTGTTTAACGAATGTGCGCGGCGCTGAAGCGAGACATGTTGAAGACCACCCGTCCTCAATCCGTGAAACTCTGGCGAACGTTTAAAAAGAATGCGCTCGGCGCTAAGGCGAAAGGCGCATGTTGAAAACGACCCGCCCTCAACCCGTGAAGCTCTTGCACATGTTTAAAAGCGAATGCGCGCGGCGCTAAGGCGAGAACCACATTTTGAAGACGACCCGCCCTCCATATGTGAAGCTGTCCCCACTCGTTAAGCTGATAATGATAAGTTGTGAAGATGTCGCAGGCGAAACGCCCGGCCCGCCCTAAAAACTGGCCTCGGGGTGCGACAGGGAGCAACTATCTACAAAGAGGAGGAGGAAGAGGAGGAGGAGGAGGAGGAGGATGCGGACGAGGAGGAGGAGGGGGGAAAAGGAAGAGGAGGAGGAGGAGGGAAGAGAAAAAAGGATGGTGCAGGAAGGACGAAGAGGAAAAGGAGGAGGAGGAGGAGGAGGAGGCGAAGGAGGAGGAGGAGGAGGCGGAAGATGAGGAGGAGGGGGATGAATAGGAGGGAGGAGGAGCAGGAGGAGCAGGAGGAGCAGGAGGAAGAGGAGAAGGAGGAGGAGGAGAAGGGGGAGGGAGGAGGAGGAGGAAGAAGGAGGAAAAAAAAAGGGTCGTCGTCGAGCGGTGGTGGGTCTCTGGCCGCTTTCAACTCAAATGCCTGCGCGCGAACGCCCCTGACCCAGGCACAGAAAATAAGGACGGCGAGCACGGGAAACAAATCGCGTCAGATGTCCGTGCGAAGAGCCAGAAACGAGCAGAGAGCACGAGAAAGGCCTGTGCGTTGGCAGCCGTAAAAAAACGAGGGAAACTCGACGGCCCCACTGGGTGTGCATCGACCCAGGCCATGGGGAGGGGAAAGGAGCAGGGGCGGACGGGGAAGCCAGAGTGGAGCGCACTGACGAAGCACAGAGAAAGGAGCTAGAAGCACATCAGTAGCTCGAGCTGAAAGGCCTTAGAGGCAACCGATTGAGTACACAAGCGTTCGACCACAAACACTGCGAACCAGTGCGCAACCTGCTACATATTGGAGGGGGCGAAGGGGAACCAATTGGAAAAGCCAGCACGAAGCGGGCGAATGGGGTCCACCCGCGACGAGAGAGCCTGATGGGAGACCGCACATGCAGTAAACTGCGGCTCGAGACGTCGGTACAAGCCAAATGGCAGTTATGCAGCAAGTTTCGCAGCTCACGAGCTGCAGTAGCGGAGGAGGCTGTCCTTGCAAGCGACTGCCATCCCAGTGTAGATGCCCAGCACCTCGTAATACTGCGCCGCGCGGCTGAGCTTGGAGGCCGCCGCCTGCGCCAGGGACGCGCTGCAGCAATTAGCGGAAAGGGCTGTCCTCGCAGGTGGCCCGCGGCCCCGTGAAGATGCCTGGCACCACTGGCACCTCGTGGCACTCCGCCGCGTAGCTGAGCAGGGACGCAGCCGCGTGCGCCAGGGGCGCGCTGCAGCATCGGACGAGGTAGCCCACGTATTAGGCGTACGGCAGCCCTTTGGAGATGCCCAGCACCTCGCAGCCATTTTGGCTCAAGTAAGCCATTCGTCAAGCCAGCCGGGCAGGAGCAGCAAGCCGGCTCGGGCGCCTGGCCCGCGGGCGGCCCGCGCGTAAGGTAATCCGCGCGCGTGTCCGCATGCCGGGCGGCCGCCGCGGCAAGGCGCATGGTGGCCCAGCGGTGGCGCCGCAGCGGGGGGAGGCGCTGCTGGCTGCGCACCGGGCCGCTTGGATGCCGGGGCTGAGGGGCGGCGGAAGGCGGCAGAGGCATGGGTAGGCAAGGCGGTGGTGGTCGCCCCGGGTCCGGAAGACCCGCGGCTGCCTGTGCGGGGCTGCTCGCGTGGGGTGGCCGACAATTGGGCCCGTCGCGCTGCCTGCCGTGCGCGTGGCCGCCGTGGCCCGCGCGCTGCCGCGTGGGGAACGCGCCGCCCCCGCCGAGGGCGGGGCGCCCCCCCTGGCGGCCGCTGCGGCGCGGACATGGGCTCAGGTGGCGGGAGCCACGGGCGCGCAGCCAGGCGCGGCGCAGGCGGCGCCGCCAGCCGGGCCGCAGTCGGCGGCAGCCCCCCACGACCCCGCTCTGGCAGCGGAGCCGACGGCTGCGGAGCGCCTCGCAAGCCTCCGCAGCCTGCGTCGCCGAATTCCAGCCGCTCCCGGAGTGCGCCGCCAAGGCGGCGGCCGTTGTGGAGGCGGGGCGAGCCTGCAGTCGGCGGCGGGCCCCCTGCGCGCGCGGTCCGCGGCGGCCCAGAAGGCGCGGCGGGCCGCTCTCGACGCGCAGGGTGGCCGAGCAGGCTGCCCAGGCTGCCGCGGCGATGGAGGCCGAGGCGGTGCGCGCCGAGGCCGAGGAGGCGGCCGCCCGGCAGGCGCTGGCGGCAGCGCAGGCCGAGGCGGCCGCTGGAGGAGGGGCCGCGGCGCCCGCAGGCGGACCCGGCGCCCCTGGGGGCGGGTTCGATGCGGCGTCGGCCGCAGCGCCCCCTGCCGCGCAGGCCGCCGCGGCCGCTCTGCTGGAGCAGCTTCGCGGGGCGTTGGTGGCGACGCCAGGTGGCGCAGGGCTTGCTGGGCCAGCAGGCGGCGTGGCGGCGGCGGCGGTCGGCCCGGGCGGCAGCGCGCAGGCGCGGCGGCCGCGGCGCCGACCGACGCGGCCAGGCCTGCCGCGCCAGGCCCCCCAAGGGAAGCGAGACCTCCAACGCCCCTCGATGCTCGCGCGGCGATGCTCGGCAGCGGCGCGCGGCGCGCGGCCCCCGCAGGCGCGAGCGCTGCGCGATGGTATTCTCCTTCCCGGGAGGGGTCCGAGGACGGCGACCGCTCCCGATCCACGGGCCGCGGGGGCACCCCAAAGGCCCGCACTCCGCACTTCACCCAGCCCGCGCATCTGCCGCCCGGGCAGCAGACGTTGCCCTTGCGGCGATGCGCGCGCCTTGCCGCAGCGGTACCTGGCGGTGCTTGATGGTGCCTCGCTTGCGCAGCCGCCGCCGTCGGGCGCCCTGCCGCTGCTGGCGCGCGCAGTTGAGTGGCGCCGCGATGGGGCGCTCACGACCTCCAGAGCGATGTTGGAAATCGTAACGTGGCCGACTAGCGGCCCCGGGGGGCCCTTGGCGCCCCCGGCAGCGGCCCGACCGCGCCGAGGCGCAGTTTCAGCAGCGTCGGCCGCGGCCCCAGCGGCCTTGGGCGGCCCCCAGGCACTCGCGATCTCCAGAGCGACGTTGGAAATCGTGGCCGATTGGCGGCCCCCGGGGAGCCCTTGGTGGCGCCCCCGGCAGCGGCCCGGCCGCGCCGAGGCGCAGTTTCGGCGGCGTCGGCGGCGGCCCCAGCTGCCCTGGGCGGCCGGCCCTTGGCCCAGGGGCGGGCGGCAGACGCGTTGCGGGGCCGCTGGCCGCCGCTGGGGCCGCCGCCCGCGCGCGGTTGCTGGGCGCAGCGCCCGGCAAACGCCCTCTGCCCGGTCGCGCCGCCGCGACCGCGGGCGGTGCTGCAGTCGCGCCGCGGCAGGCCTCCGCTCGGCGGGGTAGCGGGCGGCTCGCGTCGGCCGGCGGGCGGCTGGCGCGGCGCCGCCGGCAGCGCGGCCGTCGGCGCGAGCGACGGGGGGGAGGCGACCGCGATGAGAGCCAGGATCACCCGAGTGCGAGCTGCAGTTGCGTCGCGGGGCTGCTGGCGCTGCTTCGGCCCTCCATGGATCGCCGGCTGCTGAGCCCATGGAGGGGCGTCGGGGTCGGAAAGGCGCAGCGCCCTGGCCCGCCGCCCGCGCCTCTGATTGCCAAGTTGCTCGTGGCTAACGTCACCAATTGGCGCGCGAGCTGGAAGGGTCTCCTCGCAGCGGGCGCCGACGCGTGGTTCGCCCAGGAGGCGCGCGCCCCGTCTGGCGAGAGGCGGCCGCGGCCGGCGCCTTGCAGCGCGGAATGCGGCTGCATCCAGGGCCGCTCGCAGGGGGGGGGCACTGCTCGCTGCCGCGAGCCGCGCTGGGGGCTGCATCGTGCGCGCGGAGCCGGGGCTGCCCGGCTAGGCCGCCTTCGGCATGCCGCCCTCCACTTTGGCGCGGGCAGGGCCGTTCACGCCACGCTGCGTGCGGTTGCGCCAGGGGCCGGGCTGACCTGGAACGCAACGCCGAATTGATTTGAAGGGCGTGAAGTGGTTGCGGGGCCTCGGCGCGCTCCCGGCCTTCATTGTCGGCGACCTCAACTGCAGCCTTGCTGACGCGGGGCTCGACGGGCTGCCGCCCGCGGCTGGGTGGCGGGGCGCCCTCGCCGCCGCGGGGCCGACCTGCGCCCCCTCCCAGGGCGTGCCGTCTCGCCTGGATCATGTGATCGCCAGCCACGCTGCCCTCGGCATGGTCGGCGCGGCCGGTCCGCGCTGGGATTTGGGCATTCCCACCCGCGCCGCGCTGCAGGTCGAGCCGGGCTGGCGCTGCTGAGGCAGCCGGCGCCTGCTCTGGATGGGCCGCCGAAGGCCGGCTCGGTTCGTCGGCGGAAGCGGCTCGGGACGCCGCGACGGCGGCCGCCGAAGCCTGCTGCGGGGGCGCTTTCCAGGACGCCATCCAGCAGCATGATATCAAAGGAGCCTCGCGGCACCCCGTGCGGCACTGGCTGGCAGCGCGGCGAAGCCTGCCGGCAGTGCCTGAGCGCCCGCGTGCGGCCGCAGCCGTTCGGGCCGAGCGCCCGCCCACCGCGGGGGGCGGCGGGGGCGCGGCGGGCCGCGCGGCCGACGCGGCGTTGCTGCGGTTCCGGCGACTGCGGGCGGGGCCTCCGGCACGCCCGAGGCCGCTCCGCCGAGGCAGCGAGGCGGGGGGCGCGCGCCACCCTGGATGCGTTGTGGGCCGCGGACGTGGGCCGCGCGACCTGCGACGGCGCCGCGGGCCCCGCTGCCAGACGCGGCGCTCCCAGCGACGCTGCCGCGGCGCGCGGAGGGGGGCTGGAAGGCCGCGCGGGCGGAGGCCCCCGCCTGGCGGCGCGCCGAGCGGCGTCGCTGGGTCGAGGATGCATTCGCCAGCCGCCAGGGCAAGCTCTACCGCTGGATCCGCGGCGGTGGCACGGTCGAGGCCGAGCTCGCGCCGGCGGACGGTGCAGCGGCCGCCGCCGACGCACCAGGCAGCCGCCAGTGGCTGCTGGCCCTGCAGGGTGGCCCCGCGGCACGCTCGCGGCTCTACGAGGGCGCCTGGAAGGCGATCCGGCAGCGGTGGCCTGCTCTGGCGGTGGGTGGGGAGTGGTTGCACGAGCTTGACGGCTTGCCGCCCGGGCGCCTTGGTCCGCGGAGATGGTCGGGCGGCTGCTCCAGCGCATGCCCCGGCGGAGAAAGCCTGGGCTTGATGCTTGGCCCATCGGCGGGTTGCGGCTGCTTCCCGCGGAGCTGCGTGCATGTGTCGCGGACGCGCTCGCGAGCGTCTGGCGCGCGGCCGCAGGAGCTCGCGGAGCCCGAGGGGCTGCCGTTGCCGAAACCAGGGGGGCGACGGGCCACTGGAGCGTCGGCCCATTTGGTTGTTGCCAATCCTGCACCGCCTCTGGGCGGCAGGGCGCGCTTGCGCTCGCAGTGGCGCTCATCGTGGGGCGGCGACGAGTGGCGCCGCGGCGCAGACGAGCAGGCGTGGGAGCTCGCCCTGGAGCTCGAAGCGGCGGACGCGCTGTCCGAAGAGATTGCTGGGGCAGCGCTTGCCTGGCCAAAGGCCTATGACAATGTCGACCTCAGCGCGCTTCCGGGCATCCTCGAGCGCGCCGACATGCGGCGACCCGTGGCTGCCCGCGCGCGGGCTGCTACCAGGCTGGCCTTTGGCGGTGTTCATGCTGGCCGTGCTTGCTTGCCCGTGGGTGCGCCGCGCTGGCGCCATCGGCGACCATCTCCGCAGGCGGTGTACGGTGACGACTTCACCATCTGGGAGCGGGTCGCGGCTGGCCACGGTGCGGACGCAGCCGGGGAGGTGCAGCAGGAGCTCCGCGCCACGGAGGCCTCCGAGCAGGCGATGGGCTGGCAGCTCAACCGCAGACAGAGCTAGCTTTCCGCGGGCAGCCGGGCCCTGCGGAGATGGCTCGCGGCGCTGCAGACGCCCAGCACGCAGGCGAACCCAAACTCTTGTGACCTGGGACTCGTCGCCGACGCCGGCTGTGGTCGCCGTTGCGCCGGCTCGGCCGCGCGGCTCCGCGGCGCGCAGGGCCGTGTCGGGCGCTTGCCTGCGGGGTTCGGCCAGCGGTGCCTGCTGGGCGCGGCGGCTGGCACTGCGGCTGGGCTATGCGGTGCTGCCTGCGGCCGGCCGCCGACGAAGGAGCTTGCTGGCCTCCGCGCGGCTGCGCGCCAGGCGGCCTGCCGCGGGGGTTTGCGCGCTGCCGCCGAAATCGTTCTCGGCTAGACCCGGCGGTGGCGGTGATGATCGCGCCGCTGTGGCAAGCTGCGAAATTATTCAGGCACGGCCGGTTTCCCGCCGAGCTGGAGGCAAACCGCTGGGGCCCTGGCCGCGGGGAACGGCCGCGGCGCCGGGCAGGTCGCGGCCGCTCTCTGGAGCTTGATAGAGTTGCAGCTTGGGTCCGACATCATCGTGCGTTGGGCTGGTGTGCCAGCCGCGCCTGAGGGTTGGCGCCCTGCCCAGATGCCCCTGCAGGACACGCGACCAGCGCTGCTGGAGGCCTGGCCCCAGCGCGAGGCCCGGCGCCTGGCCGGCAGGCGCGCTGACTTCCAGCACGTCGACGTTGGCGTCGATTGCTGGGCAACGAGGCGGCTCCTGACCAGCGATTCGCTGGCGGCAGACGCCGCGGGAGCTCTGCGCGCGGTGCTCGCAGGCAGCGCGATCACCGAGTCCTTTGCAGCGAAATGGGGGCGGCCTGCCTCTCGCCCGCACTGCGGCGCGCCCGTGGAGGACCTCGAGCACCGCATGTGGATCTGCCCTCGCTGGGTGCCCGAGCGCCGAACGGCGGTGCAGCCAGAGGCCCATTGCGGATGCCGCCCGCGCCTGCCTGCCTCCCGAGGCATCTCGCACTGGCGTCGTGCACCGGAGCCCTCGCATGGCTGTCCTCGCGGAGGAGGCGCGGCTGCCCTTGCCGCTGCACGCGCCCCCCGACCCGCTGGCCGATTTCCCGACCGCGCCGCAGCGCAGGCCCCGCGCCTGGACGGACGGCTCCTGCGAGCGCCCTGGCGACCCCCTCCTCGCCAGAGCTGGCTGGGGCGTCCGCGTCGAGGACGGCGCCGGGGGGGCCGCGTGGACCGCCGTGGCCCCGTCGATGGAGCGCAAACCGCCCAGCGCGCAGTCTGGGCGCGCGTGCAGGCGCTGCACTTGGCGGGTGGCTGCGTAGAGGTGGTCACCGACTCCTGCTACGTCAGCCGCGGGGTCGCAGCGCTCTGGGGCGGCGCCACTGGGCGCACGCAGACTTGTGGGAGGCAGTCGCCCCGCACTGCCGCAGCGGGGTGCTGCGCGCCCGCTGGGTCAAGGCGCACCTCGACGCCGACCAGGCGCGCGATCGCGGCATGTCCGAGGAGGACCGCGCGGGCAACGCAGAAGCGGACCGCCTGGCGGGGCTGGCCGCCGAGGCGCGGATGCCTGCGACCGCCTTGCGCCAGGAGCGCCAGCGGCAGCTCGACGCGCTAGCCGCGGTGCAGATGGTGTTGGCGTTCGTGGAGCTCGCGGCGCTCAAGGCCAACCATGCGCCGCGCGGCGTCGCGCAGCACCGCGGGGCCGCGCGTTCAGCGTCGCTGGACGGCGCCGCGTGCCGCTCGGCCTCGGCAGGCCCCGCTGGACCGCGCCGCGAGGCCTGCGGCCGCGTGCGGCGCGGCCGCTGCTGCACCGCTGGCTGCCCCGCCTGCGCCAGCGGCCGCGGTTCGCTCGCTGTTCGCCGGCAGCGCCTGGCGGCCGCACGCGGCGTCCCAGGGGCTGGGATGGGTCGCTTGCTTCCGCTGCGGCGGGTGGGCCAAGCAATGGCGCGGGTTGGCGAGCGGGCCGTGCGCCGGCTGGGTACTGACGCTGCCGCCTCGTGCGGCGGGCCTGCTGCTGCTGCCCGCGGCCCGCGCCGGCGGCGCCGATGCCGACGTACTGGCGGGCGGCGCTTCGGGCGCGGCTCGCCGCGCGCCCCCTCGCGCCCGAAGCGCCAGGCTAATTAGCTGAATTGGCGGCGCCGCCGCTGGCGCAGGTGCGGGCCGCGCGCTCGCCGCATCCCCCCCTCCTCGTCCTCCCTCCCCCTCCTCCACAACTGGGTTTTCTCCGTGGTGGTAGAAGTGTGGCTGAGCTTGGAGGCCGCTGCCTGCGCAAGGGCTGCGCTACCGTGGCGGAAATAATAATCTTCGCAGATGAGCGGCAGCTCCTCGGAGAGATGCGTTGCTCCTCGTTGCGCTCCGCCGTATGGCTGAACGTGGACGCCGTCGCCTGCGCCAGGGACGCGTGGCAGCAGCAGCAGGGGCGGACCTCGTAGGCGAACGTCAGCCCCGTGAAGATGCTCTGCACCACGTAACACTCCGCCGTGCAGCTGAGCATGGACGAAGCAACGTGTGCCAACAATGGCGCGCAGCAGTGGCGGAATGGGATGTGCCACGTCGCCCTCGTAGCGGGCTGCGCGCCCGCGCATGCGAGAGGGCGCCTCGCCCGGCGGCGCGGCGCGCAGGGGCTCAAGCCGAAGAGCCACCGTGTGCCGAAAGGGAGCAAGATTGCTGCGACTACTGCTCGGGTTTTGGGCCAACATGGCTTGAGCCAAAATCGCTGCGGCAGGAGGAGGAGGAGGAGGAGGAAGGAACGACAGTACCAGATGAGTTCGTGGGACGGCGAGGCAGCGAGCTGAAGACCAATGGCGGCCTTCGCAGCTGCAAGAATTGTGTAACCCTATGCCGCGGAGAATAATCC